AAAATTGAGTACATCCATCAAATGATACAAACTGGTTCATGCGGAGATTAAATTCTTCAAGGAAATTTCATTAAAGTACTTGTACCTATTATTCGGAATTGTAATCGAAAGCGGGACAAATATAGATATGAGGAATGTGAGCAATCTTGTGCCAATCGGAGCCTCCATCCTCTCGATAGCGCTTCTTTAACTCTGGATGACATTTCCCATGAATTATTAGACGATCCAAAGAGGCAGGAAGGTCCGGTAATTCTCGAAGCATAGGAGCGCTACAAATAGATATATATTGTAAATTGGGAGGAAGGTCCGGTAATTCCCGAAGCATAGGAACATCAGTAATAGATATATGTTGTAAATTGGGAGGAAGGTCCGGTAATTCCCGAAGCATAGGAACGCCCTTAATATATAGATTCTGAAGTGAAGATAAGCTTTCCAAGGAGGAAGGGAGAGACTCTAAGGATTTGAGATGTTGGAAGTGCAGCTTAGAAAGAGAAGACCTAACATTGAGAAACCACTGCTCCGCCTCATTTGGAAATGAAACCAGCTCATCATTATTCGCAATATTAATAGTCAGCTTTTTTAAGGAGGCGATATTTCTCAATGGCTCCATTAGCAACACCAATGGATCACTTATGCTAAGATCGCTGAGCATGAGATGGCAATTATTACTGGTTTGCATTTCTCCAAGAGAGATCAGATTGGGGCACTCTTTAATTTTCAAGTATCTTAGTGCTGCAAGTCTTGCTATTTCATCAGCCAGAGGAAGAGATGTAATGTTTGGACACTTCGAGACCTCTAATGTTTGAAGGGGAATAGGATTTGAATTGCAACAAAAATTCAAAGTCGTCCACTCCATATTGTTATAGACCGTCAACCTCTTGAACTCAGAAGGCAAAGAGGGCAACTCTTTCAACTTCGGGCAGTTATACAGCCTCATATCAGTTAAGCAAGGAAACAAACATCCGTCTTCAGCAGCTACTCCTGCCTCAAACCAATCCTCTAATGCTTCTAATCCGTAAATATATAACTCCTCTAGCAATGGAAAAGCACGGTATTTATCATTCCCATTAAATTTGCTTTCGAGCCATTTTACTTTCGGCATGCCAGAAAGTGTCAGTGACTTAAGGAAGGGAAGTTGCCCGAAAGGAGGAAGAGTTTCCCACTCCAAGCAATATCGCAATTCGATTTTCTCTAGATTGAAGATTGAATTGACATTGTTCATCCATTTTGCAGACCTTGCACCCCTGTACTTCTCTATGCTCAAATTCCTCAGACATTTTGGTGGCTGAAGGTAGTCGAGCACATTCTCATCTAAATCGTTGTTCCTCGAATCAGTGTTACTCCAACATAAGGTTAAATCTGTGAGCCTCCTCTTTTCACATAATTTGGCACTACAAGCCTCCTCGGTATCCTTAACATTTTCAAGGCAATTTATTCCTAATTTGCAAAGATCATTCATATTCTCCAGCTCCCCGATTCTATGACCACTCAGATCTCTAAGATCAAACAAATTCAATTCTTGAAGATACTTTAGCTTCCCAATCCCACATATCGATGAAATACAAGTCCAAGGCAATTCCAGATAACGCAAGTTAGAAAG